ATTTCTGCTGTCCCTGTATCGATACATTATTAGCAAACAAAATATCACCATACTACACAGTATCGATTTTTCCCCCACCCCTAATAAACATGTATTTTGTGTATTCAAAACATGTAAAACTACAAGGAGGCCATAAACAAGAAACAACATTTCCTGATTTCTTTACAGAAACCGTGAATGAGGTTTAACTTATTTATTATGTCTTACGTTGAGTATTGCAGTGGGTAGACTGCCATTTATTTATTATCTAAATAAACCTTTTATGTATACTGTGAGGAATAGCCTTAACAGGGTAAGTCATTTTTATTTATATAGCGCATTTACATTTAACATCAAAGTGCATTACACTGAAAAAATTGTGTGTGTGCGTGTGTGTTTACAGTCTCACCATTAAAATCTGCCAGTTTTTCAATATCATCCCCCAGGTCTCCCGTCACTGGGAGGGCCTGTCTCACCTTCAGGTTAGTCTCTCTGAGGAAGAGAAGCCGAGAAAGTAAAAAAGAGGAAGAAAGAAGACGGCTGCATAAGCGGAAGCGAGAACAGGAGGATGTGGTTAGATGTGAAAAAGGAGGAAAAATAGACGAACCCATCGAGTTCTGCAGTCTCGATGTACACAAGGTTGAGTGGTTCACTGCTGGAGAGCAACAAGAGGTCTGCCTGAAATTACAAAGAATTTATAAATGGTAAAAATGTGTGTGATCAATGACAGGATTTTATTACTCAACTAAAAACTTACGTTAGGTTTACTGACGTCTCTGATTGTTCTTTTGTCTTTTAGAAAACATCAAAATTACAATATATAAAAACTTCCCCTAAACCTAATTTGGTTATGCGTCTGTTCCTTTGAACAGACATGCTAAAAGTTCACTGAGTCAACCCACAAGAACAAAATAAAACATCCAGAGGAAGTCAACAATAAACTGTAACACAATGAAGTTCAGTTTATATTCGATGTGTTGGGGAAGAGAAAAACGAACAAATAAGAAGTACTTCCACCCTCTGATGCTTTACTTACTGTAACAAACTGGTTGTTTTCTAGTTTGATGATGTCTCCCACTTGGACATTCATCCATTTCTCACTCCGTAGCCTGAGAACAGGGAGAGGTTGGTAAGTGTGTGTGCACGGTATCTCTTTCCCTTTTCTTTGAAGACGGTCAGGAAACAAAAGCTCTGAGGGCTCACAAATCACCACTGAACACCAAGGTCATCCTAATATTAGTCATTTTCCTTTTGCTGGATGTTCCTGCCAGTTTCCTGTATTATCTCTCTGTGTATTTATCAGCCAATAATAGCCAGAGTTTTTAATAGTTGGCTGGAACTGGATGCTTTGCCAAGTTTCCCATTACATGTTTCTGCTCATGTTGGTGTTTCAGATTCCCACAGCTGACATATTTTTAGGATGATCTCTTTTCTTAATATTTGCAGTAATCTTTAACATGTCAAAACAACGTAAAGGAATAATTTTCACATCAGTTTTTCAAAGATTGTAAATAATTTTCATGTATTTTTTTTCCCAGCCAAGCTTTGTTATCATTATATAAACAGTACAATATTTTTTTGTTATCAGGGTTTTCTGTGTTCTCTGTATTACTGTAGGTCTTTACCTTACAATAAAAAGCACCTTGGGGCTACTGTTGTTGGGATTTGGGCGTATAGAAATAAAATTGAATTGATCAAGTTAAAGTCTCTGGAACAAATGGAATAAAGTAAAAGACCTCGGATCCTCTTTTGAAGCTCGACATTTCTGATAATGATTTATGTATTGAAAATGTTTCTTGGATACTAATGGCACTATTGAATTTTTAAAACCATTATTACTATTTATTGTATTAATAAAATGATTATTACAACCCTGTAATCGGATCTTTTTAATAGTATTCAGCATTTTCCTTTTTCTGATAGGGTATACTTCATTTTTCCTCAAAGTTGCAAATAACTGAAGTACAGGAGAAAATATTAAACACAACTTATAAGAAAATAGAGCTTAGCAAATTACAATAAAATATGACAAGAAGAAAAACACTCAGTAATTTACTGATAATTTCCAATTAAACAGAAAAAAGTACACAAAATATAGGAGAGCAAATCTAAATGGAAAAACAGAACAGAATGTAAAACACAATAAATACAGGTACTGAGTTTGGACATTTGTTTCTGAATCTCTTCTTGCAGTAGCACAGCTGCTTCCCCAGTGACTAAACACAGAATAATGAACGGTACATACGCTTCAGCAAAATAAACTATTATATTACTCCAGTCCTAAAAATGAAGTGATCTTTATTTTGCGTATTTAACAGAAGGCGGCCTTGTGTTAGCAGGAAGCAAACTTTTTCCTGCTGCTGCTTGTGGACTAAACAGTGAGCAAGGCAGCCAGGAGGAAATAAAGACATAAGTTAAAATATTTTTATCCACCACACCTTTCCTAAGTAAAAATACAAATGGGGGCTTTATCTCTTATTTGATTATAACTAGGGATGCACCGATACCGATACTGGTATCTGGGCCGATACTGTAAAATGTGTGTGTACTCATACTCTTAAAAGTTAACCGATACCATGAACCGATACCAACTTATTTCATTAATCAGAGGGTGGCTTGTCATTTCTGTTGTAGTTTTTTAGATTGGCCACTAGGGGGCCAATTATTATTTTATAATTTTTTATATTTTATTATTTATTTAATAACAATTATTTTGTTTGTTTGTTTATAATATGGACACTCTGCAATAATTTAAAAGTTTATTTTATTCTCAAACCTAATTTGTATTTATTTTATTCCAAACAGAAGTGTTTATTTATTATTCTGAAAGCTCAAGACAGTGCCAATAGTTCAGTGATATTTTGTAAAATTACAATGTAATTTTTTGCAAGACTCTGCAATAATTTAACAGAAGTGCTTATTTTTCACTTGAAATTTTTTTGTGGTCATTTTTATTAAGATTTTATTTTTTATCGGCAGGGAATATAATAAAACCTGTCTTCCAATTCATTGTATTTGTGTATTTGTGTGTGTGTGTGGTAGAAGTATCGTTTTTTGTACTCTGTATCGGCAAGTACTCAGATCCAAGTATCGGTATCGTATCGGTTTGAAAAAATTGGTATCGTTGCATCCCTAATTATAACATCATCACATCATGGTATACAGGCCTTGTGATAACATCCCATATGGCAATTTTGAGACCTTAAAACAATTAGAATCTCACTTGATGTATAACGTTTAATTGTTCTGATAATAGCCAAGCGCAGTAGATATTTTTGAACCTGTATTTTCCTTTTTGCGCTCCAATATAGCCACAGGAAGCAGCTGCAGGATGGTGGGCAGCACTTGTTTTGTTGTTGCTCTTCTGTCTACTATTTCAAATATGTGAGCTATGCTCTATTTGGGATCTCACAGACACATAAGTGACATTCCACCTTCAGAGCTGAAACATCAAATACTTTGAATCCGTGCATGAGGATATGATTCATAGCACCCACACAAACACACGCACACACACACACACAAACTTACTTTCTATCAATAAGGACTTGGACTTTTCGGTTGTTAACTCGATTGTCGCTCCTGTGGCGATTCTGGGAAACAGAACAAAATGACAGGACTGAGTCAGAAAAAGTCACAGGAAACTCAAACTGAGTTCACTGATTTGTTCATTTTTTATGACCAAATTTCTCTTTAAAGGTATCGGTCACCAACTAACAGAGTATGCGAGAAGAGATGACAATGCAGTGACTGTACAAAATGAAGAGGGTTTTAGCCGAGTTAAACCTCAGACTCTTAGGCAAACGTCTACTTCCCTCCATGATGACACTTCTTTGTCTCGTCTCATAGACTTACTATTTATTTCTGTATGTGAGACAGAGAGTCTGCTACTGAGCTAAAACTGAAGGGTGGCTTCCCTTCTGAAATTATATTCAAATTACAAGAGGGTTAAATGTGGTTTATTGATTGGAAACATTTACTGTTACTACTTGTTTCAAATATGAATAAGGCCCAGCTCAGATATGACAAACTCAGTGAAGCTTTGCACAGAGCAGAAACTCTCATCTGTACGGCAACACATTAAAGAGATGCTGATCAGGCTGTTGAAGGGAAAATGAAGGTTACAGCCACAATAAAATAAAGTTAATGTTGAACTTGTTCTTTCTGTGTTACAACCTGAAGAGGTTCTGTCTGGATTTTATATTCTGCTTTCTGGGAAGTCAAAGTCTTTCTTTTTTCACCTTATACATTCCACCTTGTTATCACCCGACCTTTTTATTCTAATTGTTTGTGAAGAGATCACATCAAGACAGTGGTTATACAAAACTGTTAACTTCTGTTGTCAATTCTCTGGCAATTACTGATGGCTGTTGATGAGTTGAATTTATGACAGTATTTTTTAAACAGCAAAAAACTGCCATTAATTGTTTTAATGTAAGTAATTTCTAAAACCAACAGTTAATTCACATATGAGTTCTTGCTAGAAAACGATCTCATCTCCAATTATCTCACATTTCCCTTGTGACCATTCATATGGGTAACAAACACCATCAAACCTGTTGGGCTTGAGCAAATAAATAACAAACAATTTCTTGTGTTATTTGGAGTCCCTGTACTTTCTGCCGTTGTCTGATATTTTTTCCTAATGTCTTGATTATCTTGATTCCTATCTTTAGCTTTTTTGTCTGCATTTGTAACTGTTTGCCCTACCTTTAATTAATTAGTTTGTCTTGTGTTGAGTTATTTTTATTGTTCATTTGCATGCCTTTGTCCCTTTGCTTTGTCTGTATATCAGTTTCCCCTCCTCTGCTTGGATTATTTGAACAAGTCTCCCTCAAGTGTCATTCTGTTGGGTCTTTTCCTTTTGTGAAAAATTGAATGGCAATTTAAGGGATTTAATCTCACCAGTATAAAGCAGGAAGATCTAGCAATAATTACTCACTATTGGGATGTAGCGTTACTTTAAATTCATTCTTACAAAGTTTGAAATCTCTGCAGCTGACTTGAAACTAACTTGTAAAACTCTCCTTTTACAACTGCATTCCAAACACCAGCCATAGTTTGCTTTTGCAAGGTCATCTACCTCACCACACTTGGTCACACCTGGAATGCTGAGATCAAATTAACCCTGAACCAAGTGACCCTGTGAAAGTAGCAGACGTTTACCAGTCAGGATCTCTGCAGCTTAACAAAAAGACTTGTGTTTCTCTTCCTTGAGCCAGTCTTAATGGTTTGGCATTTAGTCCTTTTCCACTCACATGCAAACACCGGCACACATGCACATTTGTCTGGTTGACCTTAACTGCTGAAATCATTGTTTTACAA